CACCACTGGCATCTCAGTGGGAGACTGGTTCCTACAGGTGTCACCACGGGCATCTCAGTGGGAGACTGGTTCCTACAGGCGTCAGCGGTTCGAGCCCGAACGAGCCGTCACTTCCTGTCTGAGCTGAAGCGTGGACGCTGCTCCGGGACCTGCAGCCTCAGCAGAGTCCCTGCGACTAACGTTAGTTTAGTTTGTGAAGTCCAACCTCCCCTCGAGCCTCCTCCTCACCATCCACAACACCACCATTCTCCCCACCACCACACACCTCCGTGCTTCCACCTTTTCCCACACACATACTTTTTGTTGCTTCACCGTCCACAGCTGTCACCTCAACACTAACTTGTTCCACGTCAGCTGGGGTCGCAGACTCTCCCGCAACAGCTGCGGGAGGGGGACCCGCCGCTCGTAGTTCCAACAGACGCCGTTTGGTCATCAGGGAGCGACAGATTGTTGCCATGGTGACCACAATGAGCCACGGGCAGCACCATTTTCTAGCTGTTTTATAAAGGTGTCCCTGAGTCTGGATCAAACTGGACCGGTCCTGGTCCTGCTGGGGGTCCATGCATTGCTCAGAGGTTTACTGGCAAAACCAGCAGAGCACCGAACCGTCCATCAGCTCCACTTCCTGTTGAAGGTACAACAATAGAGCTGTCAATCATCTGGTCCTGCTGGGACCGGACCTCTAATTAGCGGGTTATCAGAACCAGGATTTAGAATCTTCTTAGGCCTGGTTTGTTCCATCAGGTTCTACTTGTCACTCTGGTTCTTATCAACTCTGTAGGCCTTGATTCTGGACTGGACCTGAACCCGGCCAGACTGGGCATAAAAAAACAGCCCCGATGGAACCTGGTTCTGGTTTTACCTGGTCCACAGTGACCTTAAACAGAACCAGATCCAAGAGTCTAAAGGCAGATTAGAACTGGCCCAGAACAGAACCTGAACATTAACATGATGATGTCACTTCCTGTTTGTTGCCATGGTGGCCCTAAAACTGACAGATGATATGTTCAGGGTCAAAGGTCAGCTGGGTTTCCTGATGGTTCTGATGATGATGATGATGAAGGTGTTTGTAAACCCTCAGCTGACTGAAGGGCCACATCCAGCCTGGTTCTGACCCGCAGATCCAGTTGGACCCGGCTCCTGTTTACATGTGTTAAAAAAGTCAAACCATCAAGAGGAACAAAAATTATTTTTATTTATTATTATTATTTATTATCTCACAACAAACACAAAAACAAACAAAAAAACTTCCTGTCCAGGTGGGTCCAGTTGAGTCCAGGTGGGTCCAGGTGGGTCCAGTTGAGTCCAGGTGGGTCCAGGTGGGTCCAGTTGAGTCCAGGTGGGTCCAGTTGAGTCCAGGTGGGTCCAGGTGGGTCCAGTTGAGTCCAGGTGGGTCCAGTTGAGTCCAGGTGGGTCCAGGTGGGTCCAGGAGAGTCGAGGTGTTAGTTGGTGGTCAGGCGACTCTCCAGAGCCTCGAACACAGAGTGGGGGTTCTGATCTGCCACAACGTGGACTGCATCTGGATACACAGACTGACACACAGACAGGTTTGGTTCTGAGTGTGTGGAGGTCAGAACTCAACAGAACTGTGATCTGGGTTCAGGTGATGGGTGACCTTTGACCTCTGGCTTCATGTTCTATCTGAAGGTCCAGTTTTGGTTCTGATGGTGTTCACCTGCAGGCCAGCAGATCGGACCCGGTACTGTTTCAGCCTCAGAGTCACGACGTCCAGGTCATCGTCAGGTGCCGTCTGCAGTCGGTTCTGGACCTCGGCGCTCGGAGCCGGTCGGGTCACAGTGTGGTACCTGCAGGAGCACACACAGGCGTGTGCATGTGATGAGATGGTTCTGATCCAGAAAGGTTAAAGTGAAGTTCTGACCTCTCCCCGCTGAGCGGATCTGTGGCTCTCAGAGAGATTCTCTCCAAACAAACGTCGTCCGTCGCCTCCAGGAGGAAGACCCTGGGAGGGGGGGGGGGGGGGGGGGACACTCTTATTTCCAGTACAGAACAATTAAATTCAGTTTATTTCTAAACTCCAAGTCACAACAGAAGTTGTCTCAGGGCCTGAACAGAAACATTCATCTATAAAATAATAATTTAACAGAAACATTCATCTATAAATCTACAAAAGTTAAATCTGGGCCTCTGGACATTCAAAAAAACAAAACAAAGCAAAACAACAAAAAAATGTAGAAACGTTTCGTCTCTCATCCTGAGGACTTCCTCAGTCTGAGGTGCTGTATTCAGCTCAGTCTCTTAAATAGCACCTTCTCAGAGTGGATCAACCAGTTTGCTGCTGACAACCAGAACCAGCTGATCACATGGTCAAGAAGGACCATCAGCCTAACAATGGATCATTAGCACCTGATGGCTGTTTACTGTTCACAGAGGGCTGAGTGATACTAGCAATCACAGCATTGTAAGAGGGGGACAGTTGAACCTGGAGGCTCCACCCCTGTTTAATGATGGACGGTTTCTTTTCACAAAGATGGCCTCCTTTACTCCTCTCTCAAACCATCGTTCCTCTCTGTCCAGGATGTGAACATCTTCATCCCTGAAAGAGTGACCTCTGACCTGGAGATGAGTGTAGACCTCAGAGTCCTGGCCTGATGATGTTGATCTTCTGTGCTGGGCCATCCTTTTGGCCAGTGGCTGTTTAGTTTCCCCGATGTAAGACTGATCACCCTCCTGACACTGAACAACATACACAATATTACTCTGTTTGTGCCGGGGGACTGGATCTTTGGGATGAACCAGTCTTTAATGTATTTGGGGGTTTAAAAGCCACTGGGACGTTATGTTTAGAAAATAAACGTCTCAGTTTCTCTGATACTCCCTCATCATATGGAATGACCACTGGTCTGGGTCTGGGTTCCTCCTTTTCATCTGATGGCTGACTGGAGTCCTGTTTGGGTTTCTTCTTTCAGGAAGGCCCAGTTAGGATATCCACATTGCTCTAGAGCCTGTCTTGAGCGGTCACTCAAGGGCAGTGAGCATGTCCAGAGACAACACACAGAGGCACTGCAGAGTTCAGATAAAATAACTCCGTTCAAATAGTTCCCTCTGGAGAAATCCGTGCACACTCGGAGGGTGCCGAGGACGACCAAGGACGAATCCAAAGAGTCCTGAAATGATGACAGAATGTTTATTCAGCTGGGCTCCTCTGATGAGTTCATGGAAATTCCTCGGTAGGAGGGGAGGGAGGGGGTAGAGCTTCAGGTTTACAAAACGTCCAGGCAGCTTGAGATAAGACGGCCTGTCAAGGCCAGTCAGGGAGCTGAATTCAGATAAACACAATTGTTTTGGGGGAAAGGCAGAACCTTAAAGACATCTACCTTGAGTCTGTGTCAGTCCACTCGGTTCTGTAACGTCCAAATTAAATGGCCACACCAATGGACCATGCTTGAAGATAATCCCTGAGATCTGATCCATTCTGCCAAAAGCATTTGAGTCTGGGTGCTCAAGGCACGAACCAAGACATCATAAGGCAAGCAGCGTGATCAGGCCCAAATTTGCTGCCAACGACTTTCTTGATTGTAGATAAACTAGCCGAATCCGAAAAGCATACCATACCACACCATACCATACCATTTTATTTATAGAGCACTTAAAACAGCTACAAGGCCAACCAAATTGCTGTACAGACAGAACCAGTTATCGTAAATCCAATTATATATGTGTCCTTAAAATCCACGAATGACAGCAGAGATAGACACATCATCAAGTCTTCCAAGTCGATGAGATATCCAGCTGCGCGCCAACAGGGCAAATCGGCTCGCCTAAAGCTTGTCTTCTCTTCAAAGAAATGTTACCAATTGCATTGAGGGACCAACTGACCAAATCCATAAATTATGGTTTGGAAGATTTATAGAAGAGAGGCTCTAAGCAGTTTCACAGACAGGGCAAAGCAAAGCTGAGAGGGAGAGGAGGAGAATGCGTCCTATCTTGACAAGAGCAAGTGTTGAATATAACTGTATATCATCAGCATAACAATGAAAATTTATCCCATGTTGTTTAATAATATTACCTAACGGGAGCATATATAAGGTCAAGAGTACTTGTCCAAGCACTGAACCTTGAGGAACTCCATGACTAACTTTGGTGTATGATGAAAATTCATTATTTACATTTACAAACTGGAATTTATCAGATAGATATGATTTAAACCAATTTAGAGCAGTTTCTGTAATTCCAACATCATATTCAAGCCTCTGTAGAAAAATATTGTGATCAACTGTATCAAATGCAGCACTGAGGTCTAACAGGACCAGTAGAGACACAAGTCCATTGTCTGAGGCCATGAGAATATCATTAGTGACTTTCACCACTGCAGTTGCACTGAAGCTCAGAGGAGATCGAGCGTTTTCAGTCGTGGGCCCTAAACTCTGGAACAACCTGAACATCAACATTCGACAGGCCACCTCAGTCTCTACTTTTAAATCTCTCCTCAAAACACATGTTCTCACTGGCATTTACCAAAGTGTGATCTCATTTGGTATTTCATTGTTGATGATTGTGTTCATGCCTTTTGCTTTTACTCCCTGACATTTAACTCAGGGTGATCTGATTTAGTATTTCATTGTTTCTAATTAGACCCAAAATGGAATTATAAAGATAATGGATGGATGGATGTTTCTAATTATATTTCATGTTTTTATGCTTTTATTCCCGATGCTGTAATATCTTGTTATAAATTTTTGATGCTGTGGTCTTTTTTGTTAAGCACTTTGATAACAGTTACTGTTTGAAATGTGCTATATAAATAAATTTGACTTGACTATGGTGAGCTCTAAACCCTTACTGAAACTCTTCAAACAGATTATTTCTTTGTAGATGTTCACGTAACTGACCAGCAACTAACTTATTTTCTCTAGAATTTTTGAGATGAAAGTTAGATTAGATATAGGTCTATAATTAGCTAGGATTCCTGAGTCAAGGCTATGTTTTTTAAGTAAAGGTTTAATTACAGCAACCTTAAAGCTCTGTGGTATGTAACCATTTATTAGAGACAAATTAAGCAGATCCAAGAAGTGATTATTAATTAAGGGAAATACATTTTTAAATAGCCTGGTTGGGATGGGATTGTTTTTTTTTCCATTTATTCTTTATTTATACCGGTAGTTTCATTGAATCACGAGAACTAATTTTCAAGAGAGACCTGTTTTTTGGGAGCAGATGGTGGGGGTTAAGGGCCTTGCTCAAGGGCCCAGAATGGGGCAAGTGAAGGTGTAGGCAGGTGTGGGTTCTGCACTTTTCCCACCCACATTTTGATGTTGTCTGTACCGGGAGTTGAACCTGTGACTTTCCGATCACAGGCCCATCTTCTTTAACCTCTGCACCACAAGACACGTGGATGGTTTGGATGAAGCCAATATTTTTGACAATTCAGAGCTCAACAGGACAAAAACAGTCCTAACATAAATCAGGTTCTAGTGTCATTTTTAATTTGTCTCATCTGACACAGAACCAGAGGCGATAGTAGGAATGTTGGTTTAATGTTTTCCCTAATTGAAATAATTTTATTTATAAAGAATCTCATGAAGTCATCACTGCTTATAGTTGTAGGGATACATGGTTCAACAGAGAGAGGGTTTTCATTAGACTAGCTAGGGTACTGAAAAGGAACCATCTTAACAAAGTTTCTGTTTGGGTTCTGGCGATTCCTCCTTCAGAAAAGAACGTTCAGCATCTCTGACTGATGTGGGTTCTGGAACGATCCTCTGGTTCTGATGGGAAGAACTCAGAGCTGTTCACAGGAATTGCCCAGTGGTTCTGGTTCTGTACCTGTTGGGTCGGTGCTGGGACTCCTGCAGGACTCGGGCCTGTTGCGGGTCGCAGTGCAGAACCCAGCCCCTGCAGCTGCAGTCCACTCGGCTCAGGCGCTCCTCTAGGACCCGCAGGACCAGGGAGTCTGGAACTGGACCATCAGACCTGTCAGAACTCAGCTAATCCAGGGGACGATCTGAACTCGGCAGGTCACAGAACAAACACACAAGGTGAGTGAAACGAACCGGAACCAGAACGCTGCTCACCTGGACGTCTGTCATCCAAGTACAGCTGGACCTCTGCTCCCAGACCAGAACCATCAGCTGTTGCGGACCTCAGCAGCTGAGCACAGCACACTGACACACACACACACACACACACACACACACACACACACACACATGGACTTGTACGTTAAAGAGTTTAGTTTTCCAGATAATATAAGTTCTGAAATTCAGGTCTGCACTCAACGTAAACAAAATTCTTGGTTGGATCAAACCTGGAGTCATGTGACTGACCCATGCTGCTGCTGGAGGAAGAAGAGGAAGAAGACGGAGAAGAAGAGGAAGAAGACGGAGAAGAAGAAGAGTGACCCTCTGAGAGGGTCGAGTCACAATGACTTTTGTTTTTAAATTCTCCTTCCTAAACCTCCAAAGTAAAAATGTGTGTGTACCGTCCACCATCTTGTACTTCTCTGACAGCAGCCGGGCCTGAAGGCTCTTCCCAGAGCCGGGAGGACCCAGCAAGAGGATTCTGGGAGTTCTGGAGTAATGTTGAGTTTGAACAAAAGCCAAAACTGAAAGAAAACACACACACACACACTTCACTATAAGATTAAAAGAGTAAAAATGTTTTGTTTTGGCTTCAGTCTGAAGTTCTGCTCCTGGTGGTCGGAGGAGCTCTCAGCAGGAGGTCGGGTCAGCGCCTCCATCAGTACCTTGATGGTAGATGTCAGCGTGATGTTGGTCGGCGTTGATGACCTTCAGGACATGCTGATAGGCCGACCTCAGACTTGTGACCTCACAGCGGTAACGCTGCAGCTCAGCCAATGACTGCTCCTCTGACAGGCCACACCCCCTCTCCAGGCGTCGAGCGATGGTGTTGTCAGATGGCCAGATGAAGGTCTCATGGTAGATGTCTGGGGACAGAGCATGGTGTAATGAGCAGGTTCTGTTGTGTGTGAGTGGACCGGGCCGGGCTCACCTCCTGTCAGCGGGTCCACGAGCCTCCCGCGGCGCCTCTCCAGCAGAACGCTGTCAGGCGCCTCCAGCATCACTGCCAGCAGAGCAGAGGTTCTGATCAGCGCCAGAACAGGAAGTCAGAGCTGAGACTGGGTCAGGTTCTCACCAGTGTGTTCTGGGATGATCCCGGCCTGCTGGAGGAGCAGAACCTGCAGACGAGTTTGAGGGACCCCGTCCAGAACCCAGCCCTGAAACACAAACGGGTCAGAACAGGTCAGTCTGCTCATCCTTGGCATCCTGATTTTGAAACTTCCTGTCAGATCAACTGATCATGTGGCCTGTGACTCAACAGCACTGAGACTTATGTGATGTCATCAGCGGGGAGGAGCAAAGGAAACCAGACTCTAAACAACCAATAAGATGGGAGGTGTCCACCTGATGGACCAATCTAGATCAGAACTTGTTAAGAACCCGTCTGTGTTCCGACTGGGTTCTCCTCTCAGAGGTTCCAACAACATTCAGCCTCTGAACCAATTAAACGTCTTCACATCTGTTCCAGTGGTTTTAATGGACTGAGGTTAGCATGGACCAACGATCCAAACACTTTCCAGACCGATGGCCTGTGATGGACCGGAACCAAAACCAACAGTAACAGAATTTTCAATCTGAATTTGTTTCAGTGTGACAAAACAATGTACAGCAACAGAACCAGAACCAGAACTAAAACCCACACTGCACTGTGAAGACAACAGGGTGATGTTGGTGTTTATCACTCTGCCTCATGGTGTTTGTTCTTGGTGGTTTTAGATCTTCATGGGCTTAGTTCTTGGTGGTATTAGTTCTTAGTGTTCTTGCTGGTGTTGGTTCTTGGTGATGTTAGTTCTTGGAGATGTTAGTTCTTGCAAGTGTTATACTTTGGTGGTGTTCTTGCATGTGTTGGTTTTTGGTGGTGTTAGTTCTTGGTGTAAGGTCTTGCTGCTGTTAATTTTTTATTGTAGTACTCAGTGATTTTAGTTACAGATAGTGTTAGTTTTTATTGGTATTACCTCTTAATCGTTTTAGTTCTTGCTGGTGTTCTAGCTGATGTTAATTGTTGATGGTGTTGTGGATGTAGTTCATACAGTGATATAACATACAGTGTTAGTTATTGGTGATGTTAGTTTGTGATGTTAGTTCTTGTAGGTAACAGTTCTTTTTTAACACCAGAACTTGCTGGTGTTAGTTCTTTCTGGTGTTAGTTCTTGGTGGTGTTAGTTGTTCGTGATGTTACTTCTTGTGGGTGTTAGTTTTAGCAGGTGTTAGTTCTTGCAGTTGTTTGTTCTTGTTGTTGTTAATTCTTGCTGTGTGTCAAGTTAGGTAGATAAAAAGAGGTGTTGAGGTCAGACTGCCCATGTCTGGTGGAGGTGGACAGTTGAAGAAAACAATCTTAAAAGTTAATGAATGATCAATAAAATAAGTTTTGTGGGCGTGTTGATTAAAATAAAGATTTTATGTCTGTTTGTCAAGGTGTTAAAACAATCAAAAGTTATTATGATCTTTTTTTGTAATAAGAAATATCTTATATAATATATTTTGTGATCAAAGATGCATTTATTAAGTGACTGTAAAAGTTAGATCTGGCTTTCACTTTTAATTGTTAAGTCAAGTGATTTTAGAAGAAGGGTTTTTGTGAGTTTATATCTCTCTTTTAATAAGAATATTTTTTACGTTAAGATTAGTTGAGAAACACAGAGTGTCATTTGAAGCAAGTGACAGTAAACTCAGCCGTGTGGTTAGACTTTACACACACACGCACGCACGCACGCACGCACGCACGCACGCACGCACGCACGCACGCACGCACGCACGCACACACACACACACACACACACACACACACACATCCTGTTAAGAGTTGTCTTGTCTTGTGCTGCAAAACGGCATAAACTGTGAGTTTATACCTCTCTTTTAGTAAGTATATTTTTTACGTTTGGGCTTAAAAGTGCATTTATATCTCTATTAACAAGTACTTTTTTACGTTTACGATTAAAGGTTGAGAGTTGAGAAATAATAAAAGTGGCTGCCAGATAGGAGGAAGAGACAAAAGTTGCAACACTCCAAGAGACGGTTAGGCAGAGCACTTGTCACGAGCTTACAACAGAAAGGAAGTACGCTGTCTAGACAAGCTGTTGCACAAAAACCACAAGCTGAAAAAAGGAGACAAACTGTTGAACTGTTGAAAAGTCTTCAAAATGGTTGACAAGTTTTCAAAATGGATGTCAGATCATAGATGAGCCAATCAGAGACAAGAGATGAGTTTAAAAAAGACATACTCCGGTACGTGCGGACCTCTGCGGACTGAAGTCCGCCTGACTATGTTGAAGCCTTTAGTTCTTGGTGATGTTAGTTCTTGCAGGTGTTAGTTCTTCTTGGTGTTTGTTCTTAGTGGTGTTAGTTCTTGCTGGTTTTAGTTCTAACAGCTGTTAATTCTTGGTGATGTTAGTTTTTGCAGGTGTTAGTTCTTGGTGGTTTTAGTTCTAACAGCTGTTAGTTCTTGGTGGTGTTAGTTCTTCTTGGTGTTTGTTCTTGGTGGTGTTAGTTCTTGCTGGTTTTAGTTCTAACTCCTGTTTGTTCTTAGTGGTGCTGATAGTTCTTCTTGGTGTAATGTCTTGTTTGTGTTAATTTTTGATGGTAGTACTTGGTGATTTTAATTACTCATGGTGTTAGTTCTTCTTGGTGTTAGCTCTTGGTGATTTTAGTTACTGATGGTGTTAGTTCTTATAAGGTCTTGCTGATGTTTCTTGTTTTGTCTCCAATCTGCTGATATTACTTTTAATTACAGACAGAAAAATAATTCTTAAGCTTCTTCATTAATGGAATCAACGAGTCATTATTTCTTCTGTTTTTAGTGATGACCCAAATTTACTGAGAGAGAAAAAAAACTACTTTTTTTTTTCTTTTTTAATCATCTAATATTTATCTTATCATGTGAGCAGAGAGACAGGTGTAGTATTTAATGTGACAGCAGTAGGCAGTATCCTGACGGGAGCTGTCAATCATTCTCATCACACAAACACACAGCAGATCAAAGCCTCACACTCTGGCAGTCCCTGGTGTTCGTCTGATGGGTTTAGCCTGCAGCTAAAAACAGCCATTAGCAAATCAAAGACACCACTACTGTCACACACACAGACATGCACAAACACAAACACACGCACACACAAAGGCGAGCTGCTAATCGGTGAAGCTAAATGCTGCAGTTTCAACGAAGCAGCAGTTTGTGAAGTTTAGAAGAAACAACAAAGATGATTTACTGCTGATCAGTAGAGGCTGCTGGCCTCTCTCTCTCTCTCACGCACGCACGCACGCACACACACGGAAACACCAGAACCCGTGGGGTTGGAGGGTCTCAGGAACATCTTTAGATGAAAGCACCTGACACACAACGGTACAGACACACAACCTCAGCAGTGACAGACGATTATGGAGAGAGCCAGTCCTTCGGAGAGCCAGCACAAAACCACACAATGGTCCTGGTCGAGTCCAAGTAATCCAGTAAGTCCAAAGAGATCCAAATAAAAGTCCAGAGAAAAAACACCGGACCTCCAAGCAAAGTCTCCCCGATCAAGGCGATCTGTTCGGCAAGCAGCACCCGGAATCACCGATGGGGCTGGAAGTGCGACCCAAACTAGACAAAAGGACCTTCTCCTATTCCGCTCCTGTTCCTGGAATATCTTGTAAAAAGACCTGAAGCTCTCGACCTTTGACCTCTAAGGGATTTTAAACAACTGCTAAGTTCATGGGAAAAACCGACACAGACATGTTCCTGTTTTTAGTTTTCTACATCGCAATACACTGTAGATGTTTTTTTTTTCTTTTTAAATATAATTTCTTCCATTTACTTTTCATTTTATGCAAGTGCTGGTCATAAAATCAGAACATCATGAAAAAGTTTATTTATTTCAGCAATTCCATTCAAAAAGTGAAACTTGTACATTATATTCATTCATTACACACAGACTGATATATTTCAAATGTTTATTTCTTTTAATGTTGATGATTATAACTGACAACTAATGAAAACACCAAATTCAGTATCTCATAAAATTAGAACATTATTTAAGACCAATAAAAAGATTTTTAGAGATGTTGTCCAACTGAAAAGTTTGAACATGAAAAGTCTGATCATGTTCAGCATCAGTACTTAGTTGTTGCTCTTTTACCTGGATTACTGCATCAATGCACCGTGGCACGGAGTGGATCAGTCTGTGTCTCTGCTCAGGTTCTGAGAGTCCAGGTTGTTCTGATCGTGGCCTTCAGCTCTTCTGAATTGTTGGCTCTGGTGTATCACATCTTCCTCTTCACAATACTCCATAGATGTTCTATGGGATTAAGGTCAGGCCAGTTTGTTGGCCAGTTAAGAACAGGGATACCATGGTCCTTAAGACTGTGGAAACTTGACACTGGACCTCAAGCAACGTGGATTCTGTGCCTCTCCTCTTCCTCCAGACTCTGGGACCTGGATTTTCAAAGGAAATGCAAAATGTACTTTAATCAGAGAACATAAGTTTGGACCACTCAGCATCAGTCCCAGGTGAGACACTTCTGATGCTGTCTCTTGGTCAAGAGTGGCTTGACACAAAGAATGTGACAGCTGAACCCCATGTCCTGCATACATCTGAGCGTGGTGGTTCTTGAAGCACTGACTCCAGCTGCAGTCCACTCTTTGTGAATCTCCCCCACATTTTGGAATGGGTTTTGTTTCACCATCCTCTCCAGGTGCAGTTATCCCTTCTGCTTGTACACTTTTTTTCTACCACATCTTTTCCTTCCCTTCTCCTCTCTGTTAATGTGCTTGGACACAGAGCTCTATGAACAGCCAGCCTCTTTAGCAATGACCTTTTGTGTCTTGTCCTCCTTGTGCAGGTGTCAATGGTCGTCTTTTGGACAACTGTCAAGTCAGCAGTCTTCCCCATGATTGTGTAGCTACAGAACTGGACTGAGACCATTTAAAGGCCTTTGCAGGTGTTTGGAGTTAATCAGCTGATCAGAGTGTGACACCAGGTGTCTTCAATATTGAACCTTTTCACAATATTCTAATTTTCTGAGATACTGAATTTGTGGTTTTCATTAGTTGTCTGTTATAATCATCAACATTAAAATAAATAAACATTTGAAATATATCAGTCTGTATTTGGTGTCAGTATATAATGACACTAGCGAGGCCTTACAGGAAGAGCAGTGTGAGCTCAACATTGTGTTGTTGTTGTGTGTTTGTGACACTGAAGCAGCTCTATGTGGTGTGTGTTTCACGCAGACAGGAAGTGGGACATGATACTAATGAGGACAGGCTTTGAGTACAAGCTGGACTGAATCGGCTCTTCTGCGTTTGTTTGATCAGCTGATCGCTGGGGAGAGGCGCCTTGCCGCTCGGCCTGCTGGGAGTCGTAGTGCGACATCAGTGAGCACAGAGCTAATTATTATTATCAAAGAGAGGCGTTTCATCCTGTGCCTGATGGAGGTCGCTCAGGTAACTCAGAGACAGACTGTAACACAAACCGGAGGGGACCCACAAGAACTGCACACTGTTTGGAGTCAAACTCACCTGGACCAGGAACACCTGAACTCACCTGGTGGAGACAGTCTGTCTTCTTCAGTCTCTGTTGGACCAACTGGACCAGGACCTCAGCAGAAACTTCCTGAACACAGAAACACAGGTCACATGACTCCACAGGTGAGTCCGGGTCACATGACTCCATGGGACAGTGATGAGTGTTACCTGCTCGCTGAGCGTACTCAGCTCTGATTGGTCCAGCAGGAGATCCTCTGAGGTCACGTGCACGGCACCCAGCATGGCGCTCAGCCTCTTGGCCTGAAAAACAACCACAGAAGAAGAAGAGGACGAAGGATGCAGCCAAACTGGACAGTCATCCGCGTGGTTCTGATTGGACTCACCAGCGTGCGTTTGCCGACAGCAGGAGGACCGAGCAGCATCACCCTGGGGACTGTTCAGACCCGTCAGAACCAGAACCCAGTCTCATCAGGATGACTCTTGGCTACTACCACACCAAACTTTAGCTCGTTTATATAAAACTGTTATCCCATTTTCCGTGTTGGCTTAGAATGACCAGCTGTGGTGGCCATCTTGATTTAGTTTGGCTCCGTCTGAGTTCCTCCAGTGGTTCATGAGACATTTTGCTAACAGACAGACTGACAAACACAAACACTCACTGTTCAAGCTGCTCCTTTTCAGCAGGTCGATCAGGTAAGAGATCGGATCATCGGGTCGGTCCAGAACCAGAGAGGCCAGCAGGCTCTGAGACACACACACACGCATCCCCACACACACACATCCCCCCCCCCCACACACACACATTCCCCCACACACACACACACATCCCCACACACACGCATCCCCACACACACACACACACACCCACACACACACACACACACGCACGCACGCACACACACAATGTGTCAGGGAGGGTCAGCAGCTGCATTCCAACATGAACACCTGCCGGAGGCTCCTTTACCTGCATCAGGTGAGACAGGTGGTGTTTGTCAGCATAAACGCTCATCTGAGGAGGAATCCTCACAGGCTTCAGAGTCTCATCCATCCCACCAATCCTGAGGACCATGAACGCAGCACGTTCAGAATAAAAATGGGTAATGCTATGTCGTTTGCTGTTGGGGCCTCAGGTCTTATCTCGGACCCCAGGCCCACCTCCAGATCACGAGGCTCCATGCTCGGACTCCCTCAGAAGTAGTAACTCACTCTATCTCAATAAATCAAGGAAACATGAATTCAGTTTATCATTTGTATTAAATCAAGGCAGGAGAAGGTTACAGTTTACAGCGCTGGCCTCTTCAATATAATTTGACGTGATGTTACAAACAGGAGCTGGATGTAGATCACGAACCACTGCAGCTAGCTGTTGCTAGCCGGGGCCTTAGGCCTCCTCTTGGACCCAGGACCCGCCTCCAGCCCACGTCGTTCCTTCCGGCTTGAACCTCCCTCAGAAGCAGCGACTCACACTATTAATAAATCAAGGACACATGACTTCATCCATCCATCCATTATCTTCCGCTTATTCTGAAATCGGGTAACTGGACGACAGAAGATTTTTATGGACAAAACAAAACAAGGAGCTCAGTGTCCCTTGCCCGGACGTGGGTTACCAGGGCACCACCCTGGAGCCAGGCCTGGGGGAAGGGCTCGTCGGCGAGTGCCTGGTGACCGGGTCTCTACCCATGAGGCCTGGTCGGGCTCAGCCCGAAGGAGCAGCATGGGTTTGCCTTCCTGTGGATCCACCACCTGCAGGAAGGGCCATAAAAGTCAGGTGCATGATGTTATGGGCAGTGGCCGAAGGCGGGGACCTTGGTGCTCTGACCCTGGCTTACCAAAGCTGGCTCTTGGGACATGGAACATGACCTCTCTGGCAGGGAAGGAGCCTGAGCTTGTGCGCAAGGTTGAGAGGTACTGACTAGATATAGCTGGGCTCACCTCGATGCACAGCATGGGCTCTGGAACCGATCTCCTTGAGAGGAGCTGGACCTTATCCCACTCTGGAGTTGCCCATGGTGAGAGGCATCGAGCTGGTGTGGGTTTACTTGTAGCGCCCCGACTTGGTGCCTGTGTGTTGGAGTTTTCCCCAGTAGATGAGAGGGTAGCTAGTCTCTGACTGTTGTTTGTGCCTATGCGTTGAATTGCAGTTCAGAGTATCCGGTCTTCTTGGAGCCCTTGGCAGGGGTGCTGGAAGGTGCGCCAGCTGGGGACTCCTTTATTCTGCTGGGGGACTTCAATGCCCACGTGGGTAATGACAGTGTGACCTGGAGGGGCGTGATTGGGAGGAATGGCCTCTCTGATCTGAACCAGAGTAGTGTTCTGTTGTTGGACTTCTGTGCTAGTCATAGTTTGTCCATCACAAACACCATGTTCGAAAATAAGGGTGTCCATAAGTGCACTTGACACCAGGACGCCCTAGGTCATAGATTGATGATTGACTTCAAAGTCGTGTCATCTGATTTGCGACCGTTTGTTTTGGACACTCGGGTGAAGAGAGGAGCTGAGCTGTCAACTGATCATCACCTGGTAGTGAGTTGGATCAGATGGCAGGGGAAGATGCCAGACAGACCTGGTAGACCCAAACGTGTAGTAGTGAGGGTTTGTTGGGAACACCTGGCAGAAGAACCCGTCAGAGAGATCTTCAACTCACACCTCCGGGAGAGCTTTAACCGCATCCCAGCTTAAGTGTGGGACATTGAGTTCGAGTGGGCCATGTTCCGTGCCTCGCTTGTTGAGGTAGCTGCCTTGAGCTGTGGCCGCAAGATTGTCGGTGCTTCTCGCGGTGGCCAACCACAAACTCGATGGTGGACACCCCAGGTTAGGGAGGCTATCAAGCTGAAGAAGGAGTCCTATCGGGCCTTGTTGGCCAATGGGACTCTGGAGGCAGCTGAGGAGTACCGGAGGGCCAAGCAGTGGCCTCAGCAACAGGCAAAAGCTTGGATGTGGAAGTAGTTTGGTGAGACCTTGGATAGAGACTCTTGGTCAGCTCCAAGGAGATTCTGGCAAACCATCAGGTGGCTGAGAAGGGGAAAGCAGCACTTTACTAACACTGTGTTCAGTGAAGGTGGGGTGCTGTTGACCTCAACCAGTGATGTTGTTGGGAGGTGGAAGTAATACTTCTCGGAGGTCCTCAATCCCACCAGCACGTCTTCCATGGAGGAAGCTGAGTCGTGGGGACTTTGGGGTTGATCCATCCATAACCGTGGCTGAGGTCGCTGAGGTAGTTAAAAAGCTCCGAGGCAGCAGGGCTCCGGGAGTGGATGAGATTCACCCTGATTTCCTTAAGGCTCTGGATGTTGTAGGGCTGTCTTGGCTGACACGCCTTTGCAACGTCGCGTGGACATTGGGGGCAGTGCCAATGGATTGGCAGACTGGGGTGGTGGTTCCCCTCTTCAAAAAGGGGGACCGGGGGGGGGGGGGTGTTCCAATTATAGGGGCATCACTCTCCTCAGCCTCCCTGGTAAGGTCTATTCAGGGGTACTGGAGAAGCGAGTCCGATCGTTGGTCGAACCTCAGATCGAGGAGGAACAATGTGGGTTCCGTCCTGGCCGTGGAACAATGGATCAGCTCTTTACCCTCACTAGGGTCCTTGAGGGATCATGGGAGTTTGCCCATCCAGTCTACATGTGTTTTGTGGACTTGGAAAAGGCATTCGACTGTGTTCCTCAGGGTACACTGTGGGGGGTGCTCCATGAGTATGGGATTGGGGGCCCGTTGTTGGGGGCTGTTCAGTCCCTATACAAGCGGTGCGAGAGTTTGGTTTGCATTGCCGACAATAAGTCGGACCCCTTCAGGGAGGGAGTTGGACTCCGCCAGGGCTGCCCGTTGTCACCGATTCTGTTCATAACTTTTATGGACAGAATTTCTCAGTGCAGCCATCTGGCGGAGGGTTTCCGGTTTGGTGGCCTCAGGATTCCATCTCTGCTCTTTGCAGATGATGTGGTCCTGTTGGCGTCATCGTGCCGTGATTTTCAGCTCTCACTGGAGCGGTTCGCAGCTGAGTGTGAAGCGGCTGGGATGAGAATCAGCACCTCCAAATCTGAGGCCATGGTCCTCAACCGGAAAAGGGTGGATTGTTCTCTTCAGGTCGAGGGTGAGGTTCTGCCTCAAATGGAGGAGTTCAAGTATCTCAGGGTTTTGTTCAGGAGTGAGGGAAGAATGGAGCATGAGATTGACAGACAGACTGGTGCAGCAGCTGCAGTATTGTGGACTCTGTACGGGTCCGTTGTGGTGAAGAGAGAACTGAGCTGTAAGGCAAAGCTCTCTGTTTACCGGTCGGTCTACGTTCCTACCCTCACCTATGATCATGAGCTCTGGGTAGTGACCGAAATAATGATAGCAGATACAGGTGGTTGAAACGAGTTTTCTCCACAGGGTAGCTGGACTCTCCCTTAGAGACAGGGTGAGAAGTTCAGTTATCCAGGAAAGACTCGGAGTAGAACCGCTACTCCTCCACATCGAGAGGAGCCAGTTGAGATGGTTCGGGCGTATGGTAAGGATGCTGCCTGGGCGCCTCCCTAGAGAGGTGCTTCGGGCATGACCAACTGGGAGGAGACCCCGGGGAAGATCCAGGACACGCTGGAGAGACTAGTCTCTCGGTTGGCCTGGGAACACCATGGAATCCTCCCAGAAGAGCTGGAAGAGGCTGTGGAAAGAGATGTCTGGGCCTCCCTGCTCAAGCTGCTGCCCCCGTGACCCACGACGAATGTGAATTCAGTTTTACCAATTGTATTAAAATCAAGGCTGGAGAAGGTTACAGTTTACAGTGCTGGCATCTCCGGTCTACGACGCGAGAATCAGGAACCAGAAGGGGCGATGTCCCATGGCATTACAGATTTATAGGCCCTAGACTCCTCCTTTGCAGAAGGGGAGCACAACCTGTCATGTGTATAAGGGGGCGTGGCTAAGTGTGATCTCAGCGGATCTTACGTGGTTTGAAGTGTAAGAAAAATGAGATGGTGCTTCAAAAGCCTTTCTGCGTGATGTAGCAAGCAAAATGAACTCTATTCCTTGACTGATATTGAAGCCCTGGGAGACTCTTTTTAGAGTTGCTGGCCCAGTTTAACCCAGTCAGAACCGGGTCATAATTTCATTATAATCCCATCTCTGAGCAGATCAGAAACCCAAGGTCAGTCTAGATAATTTACAAACAGTGAGATCAAGGACCGGAAGGGGTGAATGACAGGTTGCCTTACAACTATATTGGGCCTAGGCTCCGCCTTCTTCTGGGAGCGCAGCCTATCAAGTGAATAAGAGAGGCGGACTAAGTGAAAGTATTTTGACATTTATAATGTTTTCTGATGATACAAACATTTTCTTTTCTGGAAAGAATATGGATGAACTAATACAAATAGTAGAAAAAGAGCTAGCTGAGTTAAAAAAATGGTTTGATTATAATAAGCTCTTTAAATGAAAAAAACTAAATTCATGGTATTTTCAGGTAATCGGATTTATAATAATGTAAAGTTACAAATAAATGGAGTTGAAATCGACAAAGTTTATGAGACAAAATTTTTAGGTATCATTCTGGACAACAAACTTATTTGGAAGCCTCATATTAAATATATTAAACATAAAATTGCAAAAACTATTGGAATATTGTTTAAAATAAAAGATTGAATAAATGTAACAGGCTTGCATGTTATATACTCTTCCTTGATTATGCCCTACTTGTCATATTGCTCAGAAATATGGGGAAATGCAAATAAAACTACTATTGACATATTATTAAAGTTACCAAAAAAAAAGCAATTAGATTTATTAATAAAGTGGGATATTGTGAACCAACTAATAAACTCTTTATTCAAAGTAATACTTTAAAATTTAATGACATTGTTTATATAAAAATACTGGAAATAATGTATCAAGCACTGAATAAAAGTCTTCCTTCTGGAATTCAGAAATTATTTAAGTTAAGAGAGAGTAAATATAATTTACGAGGTTTGTTAATATTTGAACAAGCTAAAGAGAAAAGTAAAATCTAGATGTATTTCAGTTATCGGTGTGAAACTTTGGAATGAACTGAATGATGATTTCAAATTATATGTTTTT